GCGAAGGAGCTTGGGACTAAACCCACGGTCTTCTGCTCAGTAAGCAAAAACGTTTGCCACTAGGCAGACGAGCACCTTTTTAATCACCGAGTTGCTGTTATTACCATGTAGTCATATTAACAAATAAAACGATTGACGAATCTTGATTGTGGATGGGCCTGAGATTAGACTCATGATGTTCTGCTCAGTAAGCAAAAACGGTTGCTCTAAGGCCACCGAGCCCCTCATATCACATAATACCGTTGCTCTAATTTTTGTATCCATTCAAACCCGGAACCAACGACAACAACGAGTTTCGCAAAATACACGATACACAAGCGATTTTACCATAAATCTCTTTGATATGTAAGGACCTGGGACCGCGTTTTTCTGCTCAGTAAGCAGGCCACTGTAACCGACGATCTTTCAAATCCGAAAACTAAAAACTACGAAAAAGTACTTAGGCCTTCATTAAGTTCCACTTTCACGCGACGTACAATGTTTCAATTTGCTCTTTACGTATTGTTCAGGCTAGGCTCTTTTCAAAATTTACGCGAGAAATACGCACAATCGTCACCTACCTCGCAAAACTGGTTCCAAACGACAACAAAGGCATAAGCAACGATGGATTGTTGAACTTTGCTGGCTCCGGGGTGTAGTGCACAGCAAAAAAAATGTAATATCGATCAACGTAATTCAAGCAGATGTATGGAATAATGATGTAATTGTAATTTTGTAATTTATCAGCACACACCCTGGTCGACCACTGTAAACCAATCTGCCGTTCAGCGTTTTCGGTTTTTGTTTCTGGATCTTTAGTTGCCTCTGTGATATACTTACTTGCGGCATACTATTTTGGGAGTGTATATGAGCGTGTACCATGTACGGTAGCTCATCTCTCATCGTGATGGTGGGACATAGTAGACAAATTTGAGAGAAAACAAGGAGGTATTAGTATTAGTTATATGTAAACAAACAAAACAAAAGTTAGATAATGCGGCACTGTAACTACTACTATTTTAGAGGTATGATTCGTCATGTTTAACTCAATGTTTCAATTGAGGCAAACTATCTATCTTACAATTACAAAAGCAAACCTAAACTTACAATTATATGCAAATGCAAAACGAAACTTGACAAATCATCGTCAATTCCCTTATTCCAGGGCAGGGCCTGACGATTTGAATCTAATTTTGATCAGTGAACGGGCACCATATGGTACATTTTCTCACCATGAACCTATCATTTCCAGCCTATCTGAACTATTTAATAAATGGAAGCCATAACATGGGTTACGCTCCCCCTAAGCGGGCCCTCCGCATCCTGTCTCTGTCTTATCTCAAATACAAAATGCCAATGGTATGAATGTATCTATATATAACTTGGAAATGACGTACAATCAAATAAACCCGTAACCCACTCACTTGGTCAGGCTTCAGAATCGTCCAGTGGGCAGTGCACTCTACACTCCAAGTTCCCTTTTTTTTCAAATTTACCGCAAATTTGATATTTTACCCATTGAGTGTTGATTAGTCACAATGAAACATTGTGACAGAAGTTGAGGTTACTAGTGTATTAAATAATCTAGGTCCTATTTAGGAAACCAAATCTGGCCAACGCCCACCCTAAACCTAAACCTGTTCTAATCCAGTCGGTTAACAAAATGAAAGCAAATCGATATTAAAGATTGCAGTTTCTATCCAAATGAATACTCATTTTGATTACAATTGTCACGACATTAGTCTGATATCATATTGTGCTTTCATTATGCAGTCAAGACATTTTAAATGAAAGCAACTTAACTTGAAGTTCTGCTGTTAACGTCTTGTTTAAAATTTAAGTTAAGCTTATCTGTCGTTGAACTAACGATTATTGTTTAATTGTTTTGTTTAACACATTTTAGGTCATTCGTAACCAACCCGAGATGACATTTGAGCTCAAGTCTTTCAGCGTGAGAAGTTTGGATGCTAACCATTTACACCAGGCCCGTATTCAGTCAAACATTATGAATGCAAAATCAGTAATCAAATTGATTTCATTGAAAGCAGGATTAGTTTTCCGTTTGATTCAACAGTGTAAAATTTTGCTCTCATTTTTGATGTGTTAACCGTTAAGTCAACCAAAATGAGATCAAATGGAGTATTCAAAATAAGTTACATCATAACAGCAAATTCCGATTTCAATTTGATCTCTAACTTTGCTCGGGTACCCAGCCATGCAATAGTCTCATTCCGTGCCTTATGGCAACTTGATGATTCTATTGCGCTCATCTTCTGGCACCACCCAGGGGAGACTTGGTCCTGTACCCAATGCTTAACTTATCTCCATTCCACTCAACTACTCGCAATTTCGTGTGATATAGTGGGCGGAATATTATTATATGAGACAATTCAATGCAGACGTCTTCCCAAATTTGGCAGATCGACAGGTAATCGGTGAGTTACCACGATAGTTGCTATTCAACAACTCGACAACGTCCCATCGTCAACGCCTGCTATGAGAATTTCCCATAGTAGACGCCAACGAAATGACGTCATCAAGCTATCGATCAACTACCCTGGTTATCGCCTGGTACCTTATAGCACGATGCTAGGAGGCGAACCGGAAGAATCGATGAGCTACCTCCCCCTGTAGGGAAAATTCTCTCCTCCGATTGACTAAGTGAGCTTCGGTTTGCGATATAAGATCAATTAAATTGGTTTGATCCGCCCTTTTGTATTGTTGGTCAAGCTCGAAAATCTTTGTTCAAAAACAAATCTCGAGTACTTTTTTGAAGGGACGTATCAGCTTTTGTAAACAATGCATTTGACCGTCGATTTGGCATAGCTAGTAGCTGATCCACGAATACTATCACTACTATAGAGATTGCTAAAGTATGATTGTGTCAGTGATTTGTTTTCATCGGGAAAATTTTCTGCTATGAAGTTTTTTTTTCCCGATGAAAACATTTTGCGTATACGTATACGTGACGTAGTGTGCGTACGATAAACGTCAGCAATCTCTATAAGGGAAATTTTCCACTACCTGATTAGTGGTGTTAGTATGTGTCGGAGAGCTGCCAGTTATGCCAAATCGACGATCACACGCATTGTTTACAAAAGCTTATACGTTTCTTCGAAAAAGTAATCGATTTCGATGCAATTAGAGCGTAGCAGCTTTTGTAAACAATAACTTCTCTCGATGATTTCTAGAGAGTCAAGGCACGCCCACACACACCAGCATACCCATCATGTAAAGGAAGTCTTCCCGATGGTAGTGTGAAATTACATTGGCGAGGCTTGACTCTCTAGAATTCATCGAGAAAAGTCACTGTTTACACAAGCTTTTACGCCCTAATTCAGCTATATCTAGAAATATTTAAAAAAGAGAAACTGAATTCATATTTGCCTTGGGTAAAAGCGCTTCAAGATCACGGACTACGACTTGGATAACCCTGGCATCCGGTGAACATTAGCATCGACTTTATCTATGGTTTGATCACGTTTGGCCATCAATGCCGGTAGTCAATTAGGTCACCAACCCTCCGTGCAGATATTTCCGTTGCCTCCAGAGTTGGAACTTGAAGCTTGAAGGGTTCGAAACAATCATAAAAGCACACGGCGAATGAGAACAACCCAAATTTGAGTTTAGTTCACTCATAATCTCCAAAAGTGCAGGAACTCAGCGATGAGTAAATTTGCCTCATGTTTTCCCAGGATTTTCCAGAGAAAAATTGCCGAATTTGAGAAAAGTAAAGATTGGATTCACTCAGTCTATTGGTACTACTCCAAAACTGAATAAATTTTTTGTCAATTTCCTCATTTTCCGACAGATTTTTAAGGTTTTCCACAGAAAAAAAACCATGAGAAAATTTACTCATCGCTGAGTTCCTGCACTTTTGGCGATTATGAGTGAACTAAACTCAAATTTGGGTCGTTCTCATTCGCCATGCAGGTGCTCATGAAGTGACAGTTTGACAGTGATCATGCGTCAGGGCGTATACGCGATGATCGATTCTCTTTATCGATTTTTTCTTTGCATTGCTACAGCTAAGCGAAACAATTCAGTGTCAACATTTCAAAGGGGCTTAATTGCTTTTGTAAACAATGGCTTTAACCGTCGATTTCTCGCAAATTAAAGCTTACCCCTCCAAATTAACAATGCTAGCTGGTAGAGGAAACATTCCTCTACTTGTTGGTTTTATTAATTTTCATGTGTGAGCTTTTATTCGCGAGAAATCGACGGCTAAAGCCATTGTTTACAAAAGCAATTACGCCCCTTTGAAATGTTGACACTGAATTTTCTTGAATTTGCAGAACGCAGAGGTATTGGCTATCAAAAGCAACAGCAAACGCACCGAGAAACGTTAATTCTAGCGAGTTATTAACAAAAGACAATCGATCATCGCGTTTACGCCCTTATGCATGCTCACTGTCGAGCTCACATCACGCTACACACTAAAAATAATTTCAGCATAATGCTCGATAGTTCTAACACATTCGAGATTATCGATGAATAGAGGATGAAATCGAGTGTATCCCATTAGGCATATGGACGTTAGGCATAATTGACGTTATGTATAAAGTAAACAATCCTTATATTAGGCTAAGCGTTGAATAAAAGATGATACAAGTTATACAAACATAGTTTTTTTTTTTTTAATATGCACAGTTTGGAATCCATTATTTATCATATCATATTTTATATCATATCATTATTTATCATGACGCAGCTACATATTTACTTAGATCAAAGATTAGTAGCGATAGCGGTTAAGTAATCTGGCAATGAAAAGGCAGCATAGTTTTGAACTATATCTTGAAATCAATCGCATCTAGAAATAAAAAAATCACACATTTGTTGTCGCAAGTTTGCATGAGTCCCAAAAATTAAGACTCTTTCATTTGTTATCGTTTGGGTACTTTGCCTTATGGAAAAAGCTCGTGCAGAGCGATAGCAGTGCTATAAAGTGCGAGCACTCAACCGAACGAGACAACAATCCACTAGTATACTGCTGTTCGATGCGCTCAAGCCTGAGAACCATGAAAGTTTGTAATCAGTAATGAGTGAACTAATGTTTGTTTAGAATTAATGATCGTTTTACACCTAAACTTAGCATACAGAAAACAACACCCACCACCCAGATCATGGAAGAGAAGGGAAATTTGGAATGGGACTAATGGCGCACACACTTGCCTCGAATCTCTCCAGCAGAAAATGCATACGAAGTCGAGTATGAGAGAAAATAAGCGCTTCGTGTTTGCTTTTAGGCTATCCATATCCAAAAGCATTTTGAGAGCAGTGGAGAAAGCACAGGTCAGATAATCGCAACGTTCGTGGTACGAGTCCAGTCAGCAACATTTTCTTATTTTTTTCGACATAATTAATTTCACTCACTAATACACTCCACACTTTTCGGTATCCAATTTTTTTGCATTGGACCACAGCTAGGTACTTCACATCCTCGGTTCATGCGGTCTCCACTTACATCCTCTGATGATGAATCCCACATAATGGTAAGCGAATCTTACATCTCCCGGTTGGGTGTTGACGGTCCCCATTATCATCCTTCTGGAATTCATCGGGTAGATTATGCCTAACGTCCGTATGCCTAACGACCGCATGCCTAACGTCCGTATTCCTTACGTCGTGTACCCGATGAAATCGGATAATATCGAAAGGCGCACGTTAATTCATAACTAATCGAATTTATCCTAAACAAATTCGAGAAAATTAAGCAAAATTTATTGAAATTCGCTAAATGAAACAAATAACGAATTACTTTCGTCCTCCTCGGTGTAGTGCTGTAGTTACTATGCGGTTTTGGGCCACGAGAAATTAAAAAAAAGTTTAGTTTTCATTTATTAGGATCTCCTTTAAAATGGTATATCCTGAGTACTTTATAAAAACTATTAGGGCTGAAATTTTGCAGTTTAAATATTTCTTAAGCTAGAATCTATGGCAAAAAGTCGATAGACAAAAAGTCGGAAGGATAAAAGGTCGAGAGAAAAAAAGGTTGAAAGACAAAAGATCGAAAGACAAAAGATCAAAAGACAAAGGGTTGAAAGACAAAAGGCCGAAAGACAAAAATTCAAAAGACAAAAGATCAAAAGACAAAAGATCAAAAGACAGAGAGACAAAAAATCGAAAGGATAAAAAGTCGAAAGGCAAAAGGTCGAGAGACAAAAGGTCGAGAGACAAAAGGTCGAGAGACAAAAGGTCGAGAGACAAAAGGTCGAGAGACAAAAGGTCGAGAGACAAAAGGTCGAGAGACAAAAGGTCGAGAGACAAAAGGTCGAGAGACAAAAGGTCGAGAGACAAAAGGTCGAGAGACAAAAGGTCGAGAGACAAAAGGTCGAGAGACAAAAGGTCGAGAGACAAAAGGTCGAGAGACAAAAGGTCGAGAGACAAAAGGTCGAGAGACAAAAGGTCGAGAGACAAAAGGTCGAGAGACAAAAGGTCGAGAGACAAAAGGTCGAGAGACAAAAGGTCGAGAGACAAAAGTTCGTGAGACAAAAGGTCGAGAGACAAAAGGTCGAGAGACAAAAGGTCGAGAGACAAAAGGTCGAGAGACAAAAGGTCGAGAGACAAAAGGTCGAGAGACAAAAGGTCGAGAGACAAAAGGTCGAGAGACAAAAGGTCGAGAGACAAAAGGTCGAGAGACAAAAGGTCGAGAGACAAAAGGTCGAGAGACAAAAGGTCGAGAGACAAAAGGTCGAGAGACAAAAGGTCGAGAGACAAAAGGTCGAGAGACAAAAGGTCGAGAGACAAAAGGTCGAGAGACAAAAAGACGAAAGGACTGATATTCGGAAGAACAAAAAGTCAAAAGTGACAAACCGGGGTCGAAATTCTAAAACATCTTTTTCTAAGTATGATCATGTTTCTAAGAAGGATATATTGAAAAAGTACCTAGTATTTTTTATTGCTTCATGCAACATTATGGCGCTACCTGGATACTTTTGAGAATTCTTTAGATGCCATGAAAAAACTTCTTCTCTTCGATCTTTTGTTGTCTAATCTTTCTCCATTTCAACGTTTTGTCTTTTGACCTTTTGTCCTTTCTACCTTAACCTATAAATCACTGAATAATTTTTAATCATTAATCATTTTCATTAATCATCGTTATTTTTTGTTTATTCATTAGAAAGCATGCATTAAGTACCTAGTTAAGGAACTCGTTTCGCACCAGGAATAATTGGAAACGACATAAGAATGTTGAACATTTTATGAAATTTGAACTATCCATCTTTACAGTTTTAAAATGTTGTAAATCCAAGCCCTATTTCAATCATTCGCAAAACTAGGGAAATGGCTCTAATGTTGGCCTATGGATCTAAGATTGGGCTCATCGCTAAAAAACCTACTGTATATCAATTTTATCTAGACGATACTAATGGATATTTTTGGTCGCTATTGAAAATTTAGTCGATTGCTGAATTTATGAATGGGCCCAAATTAGGAGCATTTAGACCGACATTACATCCATTTCCTCTATGTGTTTTTTTCAACTCCCTGCAGCAGCGCTGCTGCTCCAAAACATATTCAAGACCCAACAATGTAACCTATATGCTGCGAAGTGAGAGCAAAGTTAATTCCCTCAAAGCCATACTTATTTCCTCGCACTGGTTAATTAAATTGATTTAGTTGTCTTTGAGTTGACCAGCACAATTAACGTAAATCATGTCTTACTCTAACGTTATCAAAAAAAACTTTCTGTATTTTATGCAAACCGGTGCCACATGTACCAAGCTTAATCGTAGAGGAAAAGGAGGAGCCATCACATTAGACCAGAGAAATTTGATTTCCTATATATTTCAATATGGACCAAACAGGTCTGGGCCATTAAGGTGGATTCCGTCCTCAGCGATATTTCACGCGCGGGGCGAGATTTTGCGACTGTACTAGTTGTCTCTTTCCGTCCAACCCAAATTTTGCTTCTCTCCGCTAATGCACGCTCAGATCTGAATACACCGTTTAAGAGAGAGAAATTAGGCTTCATTCGAGTTGTTCGTCGAAGACAGGCGGTCTTTTTTTTACGATCGACCATGAATGTCTTGCCTAAGCCATGGCAACTATGGTTGATTGTTTTGATCACCGTTTCAGTGAAGGGCTCTGCAAAACCTGCTTTTGAAACAGGGACTCAAAACACACACAAAATCATAACACTATCAGCTAACAGGGAAATACCAGGCGATAGAGAGATGATCCATTATTGTAATATTGACGCTTGCCCAAGGTAGATCGAAATAATAAATCTTCTACAAGAGTAAATCAGTGGAAGAGTGGTTGAACTTCATCCGCCGCGCGTGTTTTAGCCATTACTGAACATCTATTCAGACTAATTACCGGGATTCGCAATTTAATTACTAGATTAACACAAAACACGGACACCTGATCAAATGCACACACCGCGAATTTTCAAATAACCATGCCTATCACGTTTCGGTCATAACCTGTTATAATTATGAATGTTAACAAAAATAGTGAGTGACAAAGGTGATCAACTTCGGAAATAGGAGAAGATGCTGTAACGTGGTTATGATGTGAAAGTGATTTACAACCGAATGACATTGTGAAAATAAAAGTCATTTCAGTGCAACTCTTTCTAGCAGGCTTCATGCCGTGAGGTCTCTACTCAGTTGTAACAATCTACTCTTCGCAAAATTCGCAACTCCAAAGATCAGGGATTGGAAATGCTCGGTATTGTGCCACCGTTGATGATTTGTTCTTGGGTTGGCCATGATTTACCATGCGCTGTGAAATCTGTCAATGGGTGATCAAACGAGTAACAGTGAAAACAGTGAACAAGAGTGTAAATCTTGTTTTAAAAGTGTTAGAAAAGGGGCCTCAGACAGCCAAGTCACTGAAGCGGCGGGTTCCATTTCAAGACCGGTCTGGAAAATATTTCGGATTGTACTTGCCACACGATATACAAATTCATGCTTTGATTAGCGTAGAAAAATGTGAAGGTGCTTCAAAGAAAACTAAGTTCAAAGCAGGTCGTATACAAAAGCGTCAATTCCAGGAAGACGGAGAAAAATAAGACAAAGAGCAGCATTCGTTTGTACTCGATGGACTACTCTCAACCAGTTTTGGGGTGACTTTCTACGAGCGATTTCACAAAACTGGACCAACAATTACAGCCATCCCAGTATTATAGGGCAGCTAGTAACTATTATGGGTCGGTCAGGTCAGCGTGTTCATCAAATGGAAATGATCCATAACACTGGGGTGACAACTACTTTTTTTTATGAATCTCATGGTTCTAGATGAAAAAAGCTCTAGTGGTCGTAAACGTCATTGCAGTTTGCTCAAATGAGGTGGTAAATTCTGTTTCTACACGATTTTTCTTTTCTCCATGTTATCGAGATCCCAAGCATCATTTTAAAATTAACGTAAAGTTTGTGTGAACTCGGAAATAAGTATAGGATCAAATTCGCATACGTCCTAGCAACTTGGGACTGTCGATACACACTTAGAAAATAATACCGAACTCGGTTTGATTTCAACCGAGTTTTTATCTGCTGAACGCTCGGTAGTCTGCTCGGTTCAAAGAGGAATAACCGAGCAGTCGTTAGTTCTTTTTGTACCCACAATCTGTCAAAGTTACCGAAAATCTCGGTTGACGAAAAATAAATTTAAGCAGAAATTACCGAACATCGGTTCACTCAAGAACTACCGAGTGCTGTCAAACAAACCGACCCACCTGTTGTAATTACGGAATTCGGTTCTTTTGGGCAGCGCTCGGTTTTCACTTCAAATCCTGCTTTAAATTTGGATTAAGGATACGTTGCTTCGAATTTTCATAAAAATAAAACCAGTTTTGTCAAAGAAATGTATGAAGTGTGTTTATTTTATTTGTTTTGGGATGCAGAAATGTGATTTTATAATTGCAAATTATTAAAAAAAGAAGCTGTTCAAAAAGGAACCGTCGCTACCATGAGAAGGAGAGGCTCAATCGAGCGAAACTAAAAATTTCTCACATGTAGTGCTCATACTACCTACACGATAGACTGCGCCGGCAAGAAAGGAATGGAACTGCTTGTCCTGTTGCGGTGGTTCCAAACCGAATGCAGTAAACGAACCGAACCAAACCTCAAATGCAGACGCAACGTCAAGTTGGACATTGACCAACATTGATCCCAAACAGACGGCAAAGTCTGCTGAATCCTCCATGAACGCTCCTCGGCAAATCAATACCGGGCCATTCTTATCAGTGGGAAAATCATCTTCTGGCTGAAAATAAAAATTAAAGGTACTTGTATAATACGATAACCTATCCAATAGGCAATCTAATAATCTTACACTTATCCACTCCATGACGCCAGCCAATGGATTTTTCTTGGTAGCATCATTGATTTTATTTCGCTTAACACCACGTGATGGGCATTTAGCACGGATTATTGCCAGCGCTCTGATGAATTCTATGGGAAATTAATTATCTAAATGTGTGGACTCATTGAAGCTTTAAACGCAACTTACTGTTTTTCAACTCCACGAACATATCAGCGTACTGCTTAAGGATCTTATTCTGTAATTCTTCCCAGTGATCGGTGAACGACTTCGCTCCAGGCTTGATTTTTGTAAATTCCAGTTTGATCTACAGAAATAAATTATTAATATTCGATCTACCAAATCTCAAGTACAGTTTTTGTATAGGTCCTGACAAGGGTGTGAATATAGTAAAATAATCAGATTGTTTTTATCTATCAAAGAAATCACAGAGCCTATTGAAAAAGTACTCATGAGATTATTCAATATACACTTACAAGTTCTCCATTAAAGGCACCAATCACGGGAAAATCTTTCAAATATTCCACCAAAGTCCCCGCTGTACGTTTTTGTTGTCGACTTGCAAATGTTTTCTCCCATAGTTCAACAATTCTCACCTTAGATTGAACATTTGGAACAATGAACTTCAATTCAAGCACCTGAAATTTGTAAGAAAATATTAATCGTTTACCCATTTTGATATTTACCTTTAAATTTACAAGGTCCTCCATATTGTCATCTTCTTGTTCAAGAGTCGCATCAATTTCATTTGTATGGCTGAATTCACCAAGTTTTCGGCGTTTGATTATGCGTTCATCTGACTGCCTTGCCACATTCTCCATTCTGTAATATACACTGCCAGCATGACGGTTCAGCCCTCTTCCGTGGGGATGGAACCACAGCGACTAAAAACGAACGAGATTCAGTTTACAAGACAAACTTTCTACTATTTGGCAAACAGTGTTTGTGTCGAGGTTTGTGCTACTGCCGTAGTTGACATTGTTTATGAAACGTAGTGTAAAGCCAATGAGCTGGATTACCGAGGTGAAGCAATCACACACACAACTGAGTGACAACACTGTATAGAAGAAGCATCAAAGGAAAAGGAAGGGACAAACAATAATTCTAGATTGATTTTAGAATGGGTCCTATCTCCATTTTTCGATCAAAGAATCGATTAACTTTATTCGGTTTCTACCGCAACCTGAGCGATGGATTTGAAATATTTACACATGCAATCAAATCTCAAACCTTGAACTGTTGATTGCATGGATCAGTATTGCAAATCCATCGCTCAGATCGCGGTAGAAAGCGAATAAAGTTAATCGATTATTTAATTGACAAATGAAAATGGGACCTATTCTAAAATCAATCGAGAATTGTTGTAATTTAATTATTGATCGATATTAATCTCGTGTAACATTTGAAAAGCGCCTATCATTGTTGATCAAGCTATCATTCAAATTAGAGCGCCTTTATTAGTAGAGTAACATGTCAAAATTGGAACAACCGATTAGGTGTCATTTCCATACAAATCGCCGTTTCAATCCAGCAGAAGGCTTGTCAAATGACTGAGATGACGTCGCTCTACTAATTCAGGCACTCTAATTCAAATAATACGCGATACAATCCACAAAATTCGTGAGAGAAAAACGATGAAGAGAATCGATCAACAATAATATTCCCTTTTCAAATGTTGCGCGAGAAATTCGACCAATTTTTTGTCCATTTCAATTCCTTTGCCTTTGACGCTTCGCATTGCTTGCTTTACACTAAGTTTCGTAAACAATGTCAACTACGGCTGCAGCACAAACAATGTTTTCCAAATACATAGTAGAAAGTTTCAATATATTGCTTATTAATTATTGGTGATAATTAACGCTATTAGTTAAAACTGTTGACTTACTTGTGGAATCTCGGCATTCTTCGAACTCAGTGCAGGATATGTTTCAACCAGTGACAAGGCGATCTGATTTTTGTAGAAGTTGCTGGCGTGCCTGGAAACAAACAAACAAATCAATAATTAGCTATGCTTGTATTAATCAGAAACATCGTCAGCTAGGTTTTCGTTTAAACTAATAAATTACAAAATAACGTTCAATAGATTTCTAGGAACAAAGTGATTACTTACGTTCCATACAATGATTTCAAGCAATCGCAAAGAAGTGCTGTGATTTGTCTTCGAATCGTTTCCTTGGGTCGTCCACCTTCTTTCAGTAGTTCCATGATGCATATTCCGTTGTCGGTTCGATCAAATACCCGATCAATATTGATTTTCTAGAATATATAGAAACAAATATACGTTGATTGAATGACCCACATATAATATTGATACGTTTCAAACCTGCTCCAAGATGATCCCTTCATACGGATTGTTTGCATTGATCACCCTTCTGGACACATCAGCTTGTTCATGATAATCAGCGTCAACCATACACGGATAGAAATCTCCTTATACCTTTTGGAAAATTTCCATTGCTGATTATTCATAAATTGTATAAGTCGACTAATAAGCAGACGCCTTGCAAAAAGTTAATAAAGATCATGTGTCAAATAAAATGTATAAGCGGTCACACATACCTTTTATGCATTCTAATAGGACTTATGTGGTTTGTCTTATGGAATGTATAAGGCTGATGCTTTGGCAAAAATGTATAAGGGAAACACATGAATTAAATAATTGATTTTCGTTTCGTGTAGTGTCCTCAAGCCATTCTTCCGTGCTCTTAGTTTCATCGTAATTTCTGTACTGTGTTTGTATCTTCTGTATAGTTTTGATCATTTTTGTAGTGAGTCCGAGTCTGGTAAAGTCATGTTCGTTCAGTGATAGAAACATTTGTAAGTTGTCGATCTCTTCCTTAGCTGAAAAAGAATTACTGCCATTAAATATTCTAAAGTTCCAACAGAGTTATTTGTTAACTACTTGTACTAATAATCTTGATTGTACACTCGCCGTGAAATGTACTTCTTCGGACTGTCGTATGGTGACCAGAATGAAAATATTGAATGCGTATGGCATTCTTCAATAGACATAAAATCATCTTTGGCTAGGATTTCTATCTCGTACGCTTCTAGAAAATCATTATACGTCGCAGTTTTACAGGATCGAATTAGGAAGAAAACTTTTCCATCGATGACATTGATTTCTCGTATAATCCCGTATGTCGGATAGAACTCGTTGTCATGAATTTTTAATCCAAGTATCGCGTTCATTCTGAACTCAACCCCATTAAGCGTGACGGTTTTTGGTTTGCAGATAAACTGCAGATGTGGATACAGAAATTGTTCACTGAGGCAGTCATCACGTAAGGCTAGGGTTCCAGAGTTGAATGTCAGCTTGTCGCGGAATGGCTTATCAAGCACGTTCATTATCATTCTCTGACATTGCCGCTTGCCCAAGCTGGAACAAATATTCTTAAAGTTTTTGCACGTATTCGCTTGATTCTTGCTTATTTTGTTCGTTTGTTCAAATTGAAAGCAATTGTATTGTTTCATTGAACCACTCTTCCTTATGCAGAGAGCGTAGTGACGCAAGTGATGCAACTTGTTGATACGCTGCTTAAAGTTTTCGAAAAAACTATCCTCAAAGTATGTTATATGTTCTTCCAGCTGTGCAAGTAGGTGTTCAGATACGACTGGTGACGAAATTATCCTCACGATATTAATTAGATGACCGATCATACGCATGAGCATACAATCCTTGGAGACAACATGACCATAAAGGAACGGGAAAGCTCTTATCAAGAGAAGAGACTGTGCAGATGTTTGTTTGATTTTATGCTGGGCAGGGTTAGCGAGCATTTCGTCTTTAAAATTTGGTGAAGGTTTGTTGCAGCGGTCAGCGTAACCAAAAGGAAATGTGTTAATGCGATTGTTTATGAACTTTGCTGTTATCTTTAAATGTTTTTGTTTGTATAAAGTTGATAGCACTAGTTGGATCGTCAGGGGCACTATCCCTTCAGCAAGGTCGTGCATGCTGTCGAGGCAGAAGTTGTTACTGGTATGGTAGAACTCTAATTCATTGAAAATACATCCTGATGTACTCAGTCCACAATCTTTCGGTATCAGCAAACCATCCTGTACTGCAGCAAGTTGATCTTCATACCATTCTTTCGATCGCAACGGATATTCTTCGGATGGATTTGAATGAAATTGATTCCTTGTAATCTGGCAAATTCGGCAAAAATAGTTGGCCCTTGGTCCAAGTAACCCAAACACGTCATGAACCGCAAGTGTATCGCCGCAGAAAATCGTCATAACAGCTCTTAAGACGAATTTCTCTGAACCGTAATAAACCGTTACGCCTTGTTCCAACTTTTTTAGGTCAGCGACGAAAGGCTCCAGAATTTTTGTGAATCCATGCTTTTTTATGTCTACTGAAGTACAGAATAGAAGCGGAAAAGCTGTACGTGGTGAAGAATTCCACTTCTCAGGAATATTCTGTATTTTGAAACATAAGTTAGAAACTTTATTTATCCCGGCTTTTGAACCGAATGCGTTGCCAAGTTCCACATCGTCTTGGTAAACACTGATCCTGATGGCATTAGGATACAGTTGAAAGAATTCGCTATTTTTGAAAATTTCACCTGTCCTGAATGAGCTGTATTCGGTTACACAAGGCGTGCTGGAAGTTTCTAGATTCGGTTCATTCAAAAGTTTCCGATTTTCTGGGCTTCTGAATATGAATTTCAATGAATCAATAATGCTGGTGTACGAAGCGGTCTCGTTTACCATAACTTTTTTAGGAAGTGATTCGATGTGGCGTACATCTTGTCTCCGATTAAGCAAAATATCCCTCGGCTTGGGTGTAGAAACGGCAAGCTTATTCAAGTACTGTGTCTGCTTTTTGAAGGATCTGACCTGGTCAAAAAGATTGCATAGTCTAAATGTATTTAGAAACGCTACGGAATCCTTCGTGTCAACATCAAATCCTTGTGCACTCAAAAATTTCACAGTTTCTGCCTCAAGGTACCCTGATACGTGCCGAACTATTTCGTCACAAAGCTTTATAAAATCATTGATTTTTGTGTAAGGTAAACCTACATCATATGTAATGCGGCAGATGCTAATATTTATTATTTTTATTAACTCTTCCAAATCTATACTTGATTCGAGTTTAGGACCGTTCTGTTGATTCTGGAACAATAAATCATCATATGTTCCTTGTCCTGCCACAGGACAATCATCAAAAATTTCTTCCACGGTAGAACGTCGAGAGTTTGCCGGATGCTTTTCCACTATATGCCGTTTCAGCGAATAAAAACTCCCGTAACGCGAGTTACAGCGTGGAAAAGCACAGTCAAAAAAATATCACTGGCTTTGAAGTCATTTTTATGCAAATGGTTTTTAAAATGCCTTTGCAAGCCAGTGACATAACCCTGTATATTTTCACGGCAGTAAAAACAAACGATAGCACAAGATTCCTGCAAATAAAATCATAGCATTAGTTTCAAATACTTACAAAAGATGTCAATCAAACGTGCATCCTCCTGTTGCAGCTGCTCCAGAACCTTTTCCATTTTTGCACACGTCCGACACACGTCCACACTCGAGAAAAAATGGCTGAATAGTTTTAGACTCAGCTTATAGAACCTCGTAGAGAACCGAGTTTTCGGTTAAATTTTCCGTCGCGAAGTTGAGCGCAAGTGGAACGTTTGACGTTTAACACGTTTTAGCGAATATTCGGTTCAGTTTACCGAGTTTCTCGGTTTTCACGTACCGAATTCGTAAATGTTGATACTTTACCGTACTTTTCGGTTCAGCCTTCGTTTTTATCTGTCAAATTTATACTATTTTACCGAAATTCGGGTCTGATTTTATAAATCCGCCTAAAAAAATGTTTTTAAACGATTTATTCGGTTTCTCGTTGATAACCGATGAGGTTCGGTAGAAAATTAAACCGAGTTCGGTATTATTTTCTAAGTGTGTATACACACACTTATAAAAAAATCATGTAAACTTAGATGCTCTGAAGCAAACCCCACACGCATCAATATATTGACGCGAAGGGGAATTATTGACAATAATATTGATGATGTGAATTCAGAAATATTGTCAAGCTCGATATATTGACGTCAATATAGCATGTATTGACAATACGATTATTGTCAATAAAAGCAATCGTGTAGGGTTCACTTGAGACTGACATATACGAGCGTCAATTTTGACATAAAATTGAGTCATAACAGACGCGAAATTCAATTCAATCAAACGTAATTTTCGTTGAGTATCGAACTTTTCAGTCTCGTGTAAAATTGGTAATTTCTAAGTGTGCAGCTTGATTAATCAGACGCCAAGTTTGAAGTGGTTCGATGTGCAGCAAACCCCACCGGTCTTTGTATGGTGGAAGATTTGTCAAGTCACGGCAATTTAGTTTATTAGACAGTGGAGGTGAACCAGCCACAGACTGAAAGCCTCCTTAATTAAAACACAGTAGAATGGTTTGTGCCTGTGGGCACGAATGGAAGCTTGACGTAGGACCGCTAGTGGACGGAACAAATATGTTGATCAATTAGTTCTTAACTCTTTCCGTTTTGAAATTGGTGGCCCTAAAAAGGGCCGGTTGTTTTACAAATGGTGGCCACACCAGTCACCGTTGCCAGATTGTTTTCTAAATTATCGGTATTAAATGATTAAAAAAATCAGTATTTATCGGTATTAACTATATTAATTAATTTTATATTTTTGCCGTTTTTGAAGCCGAAAATTAAAACGTGTGGACTAAGTGCGGAAAAATTGCTTTCCAGAAGAAGTCGCAAACAATTTCCGGGGAATGTTTGAATTAGCTTGTGCAGGAAGTCGAAAAAATTTCCAGTGAAATAATTAAGAAGCTCTTCTGTAGGAAGTATGAACAAAGTTCTCAGAAAAGTCCTAAAAACATCCCGGATGTCGTCCAAAACAAATATTGAGCAACTTCAGGTAAAAATTTGACAAATTTTCGAAAAAAAAATTGGTTGACACATCCTGAGGAATCCAGAAAAGAATCGAAAACAATAAAGAAGTTCTAACAAAGATTCCTACATCGGAAACAATAAAGAATTCTTGAAGTAGCCAATTCCAGGGGAAGTCAGAAGAAGCTCAGAAAAACCTTCCAATAGAAGTCGGGGAAAACCTACGGAGAATGTCGTCTGGAGAAATATCCAGAAGAAGACGAAAACAACTTCAGGGAGAATGCTCTAGACACATTCGGCAGAAGTTTAATTGAACTTCCTTGAGAATACGGAGGAAACTTCCTAAAGTAGATTGGAAGAAATTTCTGGAGAAATTTGGAAGGCATACGGAACAGTCGGAAGAAACTTCAAGGAGCAGTTGGGGGAAAAATCCGGGAGAAAGAGATATCTTGGGGATGTTCGAATAACATGAAGTTCTTTATCCAGCAATTTTT